ATAAACATAAACTGTACACGTACATATACATATAAACACATACACACCTCTAATGTATATAGACACCTTATATGTATGTATATGCATCCACCTACATATATACATATGTACACATATATACATACATATGGAAGTGGGCACACACACACAGTACACACATACATGCACATCAACTACATCTGCAGAATCCCTCTTCCGTGAAGTTATACTCAAGATTTTCGGACAAGGCTCTTGTTTCAATTTCGGCTCCTTTGCGAAGTTCTCGGCAATCGAAACATGGATATCGGGATTAGCCGCATTGGACATGGCGGTTCGACCCATGGTCGAAAAAGTGCAGGTAGCAGTGGTAGCTAGCACCGTACACGAAAATCCATATCAGAGGATGTGAAAAATTCTAGTCTCTCGCACACTGCACATGCTGCCATCCCAAATCTGCAGCAAACGGTTGTCAAGTGCAACTCACATGTGCAAGCGATCATCCCACTGATGCTAATGCTAGGTGGACTGTCGCAGACCTGCACACATGCAGTACATATCTCGTATGTGAATTGGCAGGGCTCGCGGGGGCGACGGGCGCACCTCGAAGGACATGCCGTACACGCTGGCCCTGGCACAGGGCATATTCTCACCGGTATATATTGGTGTGGTACACATATATGTTCACACGTGAAATATTCAAAACATGACAGTCACGCGGACATAGCGTAAATGCAATGCGCAGGGCACCATGGCAGCGAGGATCGACAGCGAGGGATCTTGTATGAAAGGAAATATGCTCGGTGCATTCATTGCGACAGTACATTAGAACGAAGGTTATTGATCCCTTCATCATACATATGGGGCCGTTGCGCAGCTCCAATGGACTACTGGCCGGGGCGACATGAAGTACATGGCTGCTTGATCGGATCTCGCAGCTGGGCTCGCACATGCTTTACTACAATGCCTGGGCTGCCATTAGCATCGCACAGCACAACGACTCAGGAACGTCGTCGAATGAACCTGCAGGTACACTCGATCTGCAAGCGGTTGACCCAATCTGTAATATGTGCATGCGTGGTACATGCGTACACACCAGCAATGCAATTCATTGCCCGCTCCAAGTACAATTAAAGAGCTGCTGTTTCTATTAGTTCTGATCATGGCACCTACGAGTTTACGAGGTGTATGAAAGAAACAGAAGGCAAATCCCAGCTGTCCCAGCTTGCAGCACGTGCAGAGAGTTCACACAACCAGCCAAACAGCAAGCATGATCACAGGCCTCCCATTCTTACCAGGGCAGCCCTGAGCTTGCCTCTTATGGGGGCTCAGTGGGCTCTATCTCGATTTGCCCCAGCAGGCACATTAGCTCATATTGCCCTGCTGTCATGCGCCAGACCCACGCGCGTTGGCTCAAAGGCACTCGAGCTTTAGCCAACATCCCCAGTTACCCCAGACCCCGGCCAGCGGATCCGACACAAGCCTGCATCCATACATGGATGTGGGCCCAGGCATTTGTGCTTGGTAGGGCTGGTCATGATTCGACAACCAACCGTCAGGCATGCAGCCACGCATACACACACACATACTATATATATATATATGTATATGTATATTTATATTTATATATATATA